CGCGTTGACGAGGGCTAGGGCTACCTTTTCTATCTGTTGGTACCTGCTTTTGGGTCCTTGTAGGGCTTTGCTCGTGAAGTAGACAGGTTTCTGTCCGTCGGTGGTCTCGCGGATGAGAGTCGCGCTGACGGCTTCGTTCGAGACGGCCAAGTATAGGAACAGTGGCTTCCCGTCGGCTGGTCGAGATAATACGGGTGGTTGAGATAAACTTTGCTTTAGGTGGCGCAGCGCCCGTTCACACTCCTCGTTCCATTCGAAGGCTGCTTCTTTACGAAGGAGTTTGAAGAAGGGGATGGCGTGCTGAACGGACCTCGCGACGAAACGGGACAATGATGTAAGCATTCCGTTCATGACTTGTATCGACTTCTTTGATGTCGGTGTCGGGAGGTCGGAGAACGCTCGACACTTGTCGGGGTTGGCTTCGATTCCTCGTTCTGTTAGGTAGAATCTGAGGAATTTTCCTGCCTTGACCCCGAACGTGCATTTCTCGGGGTTGAATCTCATTTTGCTTTGTCTTACTTGGGCAAAGACTGCCTTGAGGTGTGCTGCATGGTCGGTATCTGCTCGGGATTTGACGATCATGTCGTCCATGTAAACCTCGAGCATGTCCCCAATCTGCTTGTGGAAAACCTTGTTCATCATGCATTGGTAGGTTGCCCCGGCGTTTTTCAGTCCAAAGGGCATTACGTTGTAGTAATAGTTGCCCGAGCTGGTCATGAAAGACGTGCAGTGTTTGTCGCCCACGGCCATCGGGATTTGGTTATAGCCCGAGTAAGCATCCATGAACGACAATGTTCTGTAGCCGGTCGAGTTGTCGACCAGCATGTCTATGTTCGGTAAAGGGAAAGCATCTTTCGGGCAGGCCCGGTTGAGATTGGTATAGTCAACACATATCCTCCATTTTCCATTATTCTTTTTAACAAGTACAATGTTTGACAGCCAGGTGGAATACCGGGCTTCAGAAATAACATTTGCCTCTAGGAGGTCTTTTACAGCTTTTTCAGCAGCCTCTGTTTTCTCTGGAGACTGCCTACGCCTACGTTGTACTACAGCCCTAGCGGCAGAATCTATGGCGAGGTGGTGACAGGCGACCTCAGGGTCGAGTCCGGGCATCTCCGCGGCGCTCCAGGCGAACAGGTCGGCATTCTCGCGCAAGCAGGCCTTGATTTGCTTCTTTGCTAGGTCGGGGAGATCCTTGCCAATCTTCACTCCTTTGCTCGGGTCTGTGCCGAGGGGAACGAGCTCAAAATCCCCGTCCGATATCGATCGGAGTGGAACTTGCTCGCCGTTAGGAGGTTCGTCCTGGTCGAAACGAGCGTCCAGAGCTATAGAGTCGACCTTTGGTGGAGCTTTCTGGACTTCTTCCTTGGCGGACTCTTGCTTGTCGGGCTCTTGTCGCGTCCTTTTGGCGGGCCTTGTCCCTACGTCGACAGTGTCGCGTCCCTTAGATACAGCGTTGAAACACCTCCGAACAGCGACTAGGTCTCCTTGGATAGTAGCTACTCGTGACCTTTTGGTGTAGAATTTCATCTTCAGGTGGACGGTAGAGGGCACCGCTGTCAGTTCTTCCAGTGTTGTTCCCAGGATGCAGTTGTAGAGGGACGGGCAGTCGATGACGAGAAAGCGTACTTTGACCTGTCTTGTCGCTGTTCCCTCGCCGAATGTGACCAGGAGCTCGACATATCCCCAAGGTTTGGAGGTCGAGCCGTTGAAACCCTATAAGTCCGACCATACATATGACGAGAGATGTGAGTCGTCTAGCTGTAGAGTTCAGAACAATTGGCTGTACATTACGTCGACGGAACTTCCTTCGTCGACGAGGATGCGATGCACATCGAAGTTGGCCATTCTTGCCCTTATCAGTAAGGGGATGACCGCTTTGGGGGCTCCCCCGAGGAGCTCTTCTAGATAGAAGGTGATGGGTTCTGACCTGCCCTTCACCTTTTCAAATGTCACTGTTTGCGGGGGTGTCGCGTCGACCAGCTCATCCAACTTTCTCTTTGCCGAGTTAATGGTCAAGTCGTTGAATCCTCCGCTGTTGATGACCATGGCGGAGGGGAAATATTCCCACCTGATGTGTGTTGTGAGCGGCTCCTGCAGGTGTTCGGGGACGTCGAAGTCCTCGAGTCTTGTCACGGAGAAGGCGGTCTGGATGGGGACCGACTCGTCAGATGGTTGGGCGTCTTCCTCCGGCTCTCCTGTCTCCCGGGCGTCACGGCGAGGAGGGTCGTTTCGCCGGTATTATGCAAGCCTTCCTCCCTTGATGAGGGTTTCGATGGCGTCCTTGAGGTGGACGCAATCTTCAGTCAGATGACCATGGCTCCTATGGTACTGACAATATTTGTTCTTGTCCGCTCCGGGCTTGGCGGGAGCGGGTCGGGGACGTTTGACGTCGTCGTCCTTGAAGTCCGTACTGGCACACTCCGCCAAGATGCGCTCACGGGAAGCTGTGAGCGGAGTGTACTCGGTAAAACGCCCCGAGGGTCCCCGTTGCTCCCGGACTTCCCGGGGTCTGTCTTCTTTTCTTTTCTCCCCGGTTCGTCGAGGAGGAGGAGCTTTCTGGCGCGAGTTGTTGTTGGACCCGCGAGTCCTAGGGTCTCGGGCTCTATTGGCCGCTTCTCTCTCCTCGGAGTCCATGTATGCCCGGGCCTTTTCGAGGAGGGCATCAAATATTCTGGGTGGCTCGATGCCCACGGCCTTTCTGAATTCTGTGCCGGGGAGGAGCCCCCTCTCCAGCAGATATCTCTTCATATGGTCCGCGCAGGGGACCTGTATGACTTCGCGGTTGAAGCAATTGATGAACTCTCTCAAGGTTTCATCATGTCTCTGGATGATGGCCTCGAGAGTCGTCTCGGTCTTCGGGTGTCATCGAGATGCCGTGAATTAACTAATGAACTGGTTCTTCAGGTTTCGCCACGAGGTGATTGACCCCGGGGCGAGTCCTTTGTACCAGTCCATTGCTGCCTTCCTGAGGGTCGTGGGGAAGAGGCGGCATTTGATGGGGCCCCCAACATTGTGGTAGTGCAGCATAGCCTCGAACCCGTCTATGTGGTCGACCGGGTCCGCGACTCCATCGTATTCCTTCAAGTGTGGAGGCTTCTCCATGCCCGGGGGGATGGGCGCCTCCATGATAGCTTGCGACAGGGGACCGCGGGGGTCGTCCTCGTCGCTCTGCTCTGGGGACAGAGATGGAGACCTGTAATACTGTCAGGCACGACGGTCCTGGTCGTGTTGGGTATCTCTCGAGCGTGGTGCTCGCTGATTGGTCCTTCCACGCCCGTCTCCGGAGTGTCTTCTCTCCTGTCTTGCGGGGGCGCGGCCGCGTCCTCCGGCTTCGATGATGGGTTGCCTCTCCAAAGGGGGTCGTTTCCCCGATGGGCGGGGTGACGGGCTTCGAGAGATATCTCTGTAATGTCTCCGCGGGGGAGACGGGAGATGAACTTCAGTCACTCGAGGAGGTGGAGTCAGGGGCCTCCGATGCCTCCTCGGGGGTCTTCGATCGTCTTCAAGTGCCCTCAATCTTTTCCCTTGGGCGAAGATGAGGTAATTTGTCTGATTGATCGCTGCGAACAGCGCTCGGATTGTGGCATCCGCACCGGCGGGGACGGAGACTTCCTGAAACTGGGCAGCCCGGTAGTTCGCGAGAGCTGCATCGTCCTCTTCGAGTGGCGGAGGGACCGAGGAAGATGACACGGTAGCTCCGTCGCGGTGGATTGAAGGCCCTGGGGCAGTTGACACAGGGTGGTGTTGTGACCGGGGTTACCGGCGTTATCCAGGTGTCCGTTTTTATTCGCGAGGTCGTGGTTGGTGTCGACGGCGCGGATGTTTTGCTCATCACGAACTTGGTCAGCCATGACGGTGGTAGTTGAGTTGAGCTTTGATCTTTGAGTTGTTGCAAGACGGAGAAGCTAATTTCCCACAGACGGCGCCATTGATCTTACCGGATCAGACTTGGACCGTCACGACTGGCTTCGAGCTGAAGTTGAACGAGATGGGGGTACCTGCAAGGCACTCCGATGCTAAAGTGAGAGAGAGTACGAGCAGGCAAAAAGTATGAGTATGGGTAAGAGAATGAATACCTGACCCTCTGGAAACAGAGGGTATTTATAGCCCCCAGCGCTGGACCAAGGTCCCTTCATTGGGCCGGGCAGGTTTGGCCCAATGAAGGAACTGCCAGGTTCTACGTGTGTAGTGGAGACCCGCACGTGATCTCCTTCTTGGGTGTTCTGCGAGAAGTACGGACGGACGAGGACGCAGTCTTTTCGGAATCCAAGTGGTGGTGTAATGGTCATAGTCTGCCCTACGAGGGGCACTCGAGCTGAAGTCGCACTGGACTGCATGAAGTCGAGGATGTCGTACTAGCGGGTAGTGTCGGGCACGGCTGTGGTTTCTCGGCCAGTGCGACCCCCTGCAAGGCCGTTTGGGTTGGATCTTCATCCTTGCTTTTGAACCAGCCCGACCCAGTCCAGAACACTAACTAAAGCAGGCTTATATTTTGAGACAATATCAAAATTCTAATGAAATTTCCAATTTTTTATACTACTTAACCAACAGAGAGGGTTTGTTTCTTTTTTAACCCAACCAAAATATGTTATACCGGTCTCCAATGAAGACACAATTTGCAGCTATTGTACTCACTATAACCTCTGATAATTTCCTTGGAACGTGGAAATTGAGTCCCATCGCAGTTTCAAACAAACACTTGAATGTATTTCAAAACATATTCTAGTTATTTGGCAAAACCGATGCAATAAAAGGGACAATAACAAAAAGTTAAAAATAGCAAAAAAATCTCAAACAATTTTGGATGTATCATTAGGAAAACGTTTGCTACAGACAGAGACCTTTTAAGAGTCAACCATGAAATATGCATTTAAACAGACTAGTTTCTAAAACTGCTGCTCATTGAGGAACCATGTGCCCTTGAATAATTTTCACTGATGAAAATAAATATTGTACGAGCAAATTATGGTCTCCGAGAAGGTAGATGAAAAAATAACTCAATTGTAGACCATATATTTGGGAGTAGCACTGAACTTCTGGTACCCTTTGATGACTTTATTCACTGCATCAAGGAAGTCCTTCTCTGTTACTGTCTTCCTTCGGGCACGGATAGCATACATACCAGCTTCAGTGCACACACTCCTGATATCAGCTCCTGGAGAGAACCAAAAGTGTCTTGGTCAGAAAAGAAAGCCAATCTTTCATAATAAAGCGAGTGGCACTCAAAACCAGAACAAGTTTTTAATTGGAAGGATATAAGCTAGAGTACTGAAGTACTTAAAAGACATCAGGTCAGATGATATAAGCTAAATTAACAATTGTCCAGTTGTTAAGATGTTCTTACCAGTGGAGTTTGGGCAAAGCCGGGCTAGAAGTTCAAAACGGATATCTCTTTCACAGTTCATGGTTCTTGTGTGTATCTTGAATATTTGTGTCCTGCTCTCTAAATCAGGAAGGCCAAATTCAACTTTACGATCCAATCGCCCAGGCCGCAATAGTGCTGGATCCAAAGTGTCGGGCCTAGAAATGATGGACAAAACCCATTAGCAGGCAATTAAGGCCAGCATCGCAGAGGTAAAACTTTCAAATTGAAGAAAAGCACACATGGTGCAATGAAACGCCAAAAAAATGAAGTTGCAAACTAGCAATGCAACCTTTGATTTTATCCGTCTTTATCACAAGAGGATGGACAGACAGGAAAAAACTTAGGTGGACACAAACATAACACTTGATTTTACAAACAACCAATCACATTTTTTTATTAATTAAAAAATAAAATATTCTCTCTCCTTCATAATCATAACCACCCCATGATACTAATTTAAAAAGAAATTAAATTTTAAATAAATTAAATATTTTCTTTATTCGTATTGGTTGTTTGTAACAATAAGGATTTATGTTCGTATCATGCAAGTTTTTCTCGGACAGACATCATGTGACATTAAAGGAGAAAAATAGCATTTGGAGTGCAACATTATTTATTATGGGTTAAAAGACTGTATCCTGAGAAACACTTTCAAAACATCTAGAGTAAAATAGAGAACAAAGGGAAACCAAATAATAGTAAAATCAACCGACCTGTTTGTTGCCATCAAAACTTTGATGTTTCCTCGGGCATCAAACCCATCAAGCTGATTCACAATTTCAAGCATAGTACGCTGAACCTCGTTATCACCACCAACTCCATCATCAAATCGCGCACCTCCAATTGCATCAACTTCATCAAAAAACACAATGCATGCCTTCTTTGAACGGGCCATCTACACGAGGTAACAAATTCAATCAAAATGATACCAGATTATGGAAACAATGATCAAAGAAAAGCTAGAAGACACGAAACGTTTACCTGAAATAGTTCACGAACCATCCGAGCCCCCTCACCGACATATTTCTGAACAAGCTCACTTCCAATGACTCTAATAAAACAAGCATCAGTCCTATTGGCAACAGCCCTGGCTAATAGAGTTTTGCCAGTTCCTGGTGGACCATAACAAAGCACACCCTTTGGAGGATCAATTCCGAGCTTGACAAATTTCTCAGGATGAAGCATGGGAAGTTCAACAACCTAGCAGGGAAATTAAAAATTTAGTTACACCTGACTTATTTCCATTGTAATGTGAATATGGAAATTTTAAAAAAAAAAAAAACCTTACTTCACGCATCTTTTCAATCTGCTCCTTACAGCCACCAACATCATTATATGTCACATCTGGTTTCTCTTCAACTGTCATCATGGTAACACTTGGATCAATTTTTGGAGGCAAAGGAATCTGAATCTGATATTTGTTTCTATCAACACTGCAATGATTAAATAAAGGTCAACCAAACATGAAGACAATGTAATAATGATGTTACTCTTCTTCCCATGGGTGATACTTTATCATGAGAGGCATTGATCAGATACATACCCAACACGCATTCCTTCCTCTATGTCTGTGGGGGAAACCTTGTCTCCTAGTCCAACAACAAACTATTATCACCAAAGCAAAAGGTATATTAGAACAAACTTCAAAAAGAAATGCAAATACTTGGCATATTCAACAGCATATAGAATAATTGATCAGTCAAGTGGTGTCCTCTTAAACAAGTGATTCCTGACATTGACAAACAAATATCTATCCAATGTATAAAGGGAAAATGGAAAATTTGCCACTAAGTAGAGGCACCTTTGCAATCTGCTTCACATTGATGACATATTTGGCATCTTCAGAGTTTGGGTTTATAATTTTTGTGCATCTCGCAACCTGTCCAAGAAATTATCATAGTTAGCCATTCCTACAAATAATAAAAGCACTTTGTACAATTTCTACAAAATGAGAGAGAGAAAAATCACCTGAAGAGGCTGCTCCTCCTGCATCATTTGCTTGTCAGAAACAAGATCCCACTGGCTAGGTGCCGCTAAACCAGTATCAGACTCCTTGATGCCTATTATTACAACAGAAAGCTAACATCTAAGGAAGTGTACAGTGTTGACAGCATCCAATTCAAGCAATAAAAACAAACCACTATGAATGCCACGAAATAAAACACCTATACAATATTAACCATTTAAGTCCTTCCTTCAGTTTGTAATAAACTTAGAGATAAAAATAAACCCAATTAACAGTTCATTAATTACCATCAAAATGAAAGAGAGCAAAGGGGTACCGTATACACCACAACACCAAGAAAGAAAGGAAAAACATAGTATTTTCTTTAGTTTAAACACTGGCAACCATCTAAAAAGCAATCAAGAAAAGCAGAAACAAACTTAAATATCACATACCACATAAGTCATTCACTTTCTTTGCCATATCTTTAATTTCCTTCTCCACTTTTTTAATGCTTGTGGAATAAGGTCCCAAACCCTGCGGAAAGTGGAACAGACCAACAAAATATACTTAAAAGACAACCCAAATTCAAAATGCCGGAAACACATACGGCAAACTGAGAAAAGCCTAGCTGGGAAAGTCAGGAATCAATATATGCGCAAAACATCTCTATAAATATCACTTGCTTTCTATATTAAAGAGTAAACAGATTCCACATCATCAGCCCTATATACAACAATTCTACACATACTATTAGCACATCAGTAACTCTCAATTCAACATATTAATATTTACAAGTTTACATCCCATAACCACACAAGCTGCACTTATATGAAAAGCTTTATCAATTACCACAAGCACCAATTTACACAAACCCCACAACCTCAACTCTTGACAACTACAGTCCCAATCAAAATCTGAAAAGAGGGTCAAACAAAAGGAAACAAATTTCTTTTTTTCTTCCGATTATATGCATATTTAAACTAACCCTAGATCCAGAATCAGAAAATTCCCTCAAAAAACAATAAGCGATAGTTATAAATTGAGAACTAATTCAATTGATATAACATATGAATTAGACAAACACGGGTAAAACATTAAACGATTGTTACAAAAATAGAAGATCTGGTAAACCTAAAACAGAAATTGAAAAATTAGGGTTTAAGTGAGAGAAAGACGATTACGTAGGTTTTGAGGAGAGCGATATCATCCTCGTCGAGGGGGCGAGGGTTCTTCTCGTCCTTGAGTTCGTCTTCATGTTCGATCGCCATTGATGATTATTTTGTTTACGATTTTTGTGATGTGTGTGTTGAATGCGTTAGTCGAGAAGAAAGTATCGGTGTTAAACTTGAGATTTGGTTTTTGTAGCCTTTTTATTCATGTCAATGCTAATGAGGTTAGCAACTTGAACAAGAAAATGAAATTAAACTACTCTATATATTTTTCTACTTAAAAAAATTAAAATATTGTTTTAAATGTTTAATTGTTTTTTTTAAATATAATAAAAATATAAATAAAAAAACAAAATTGTTTTATCAAAATATTTTATTATTTTTAAAAGAAATATATATTTTTAAAATAAAAATCAAATTATTTTACAAAAAAAATCTTTTACAACAATTATTTTCATATATTATCTTAAAAAATATTGTATCTAAAATTAAAAATAATTTTAATATAAAAATATTAAATATATAAATAATTTAAAAACAATACATGCTTTCGTATTTAGATTAATACATTATTTTCAATATTACTTTCTTTAATTATATAAAAAAAAGTAATAACTTGTGCGCTCGCACAGATTTTAATAGAGTTACTCATGCTTTCGTACGGACTTTAGTATAGTTACATGTAGATTCACACGGTATTGTTGTGTTACTCGTGCGTTTGCACGGATACTGATGTGGTGCGAACGTGTAATACGGTGGGAGAACTGACTTTACTGGTTTTGCATTTTATCGCAATGTTGCGGTTAGCAAGAGTCGCCACAGATTTTTCTTTTATCCAACAAAGGAAATGATGAAAAGAATAGTAAAGACTGTTTTAAAGATTTTGAGTTCGGGAGGTAGATTATGAAAAGGGAAGGTGTTAGAATCCTTTTCATCTATAGTTATCTACTGACTCTTGGTTGTCAACTCACTTTGAAAATGCTTTGTGTTGTGTGTTTGAAAATATGTTTGAAAAGATGTCTTAGTGCGGCGAACTTTGTAATGTTTCTCGTATCATTGAGAACGTATACAAAGTGTTTTGTCTTTGAAAATATTTTAGAGAAGAGTTTGTGTATGTGTGAAAAAAATTGTTTTGTTTATTTTTGTGAGCAAGCAACTATGAACGGTCTACCTACTCGAATGGTCTTTGTTTTTTTTCTCTTTTCCTTTAGACAGTGTTATCCTACTATTAGTTAGTAGGTAGCCTTGTCGTTGGATGTTTTGAGGGACAGGCGCGGGTCATCGTACAGTCATAAAGGCAACTTGTAGGACGCTTCAACAATTTATCGTAAGGGACTAGATCATCTACTGAAAGGCAACATCGAAGGTAATAGAGAGACTATGATCTTTGTATCGATGCGCTTTGCTAAAGTGTCCCACGTTCGAGGAACATGACTGTATTATTTTTCCAAAGGCAACAAATGGAGGTACCTTAAAGGTGCGTATGCGCGAGTGTGTTGTGTTTCAGTTATTTATCTTGGATGTTAGGTTTGCTAACGTTTGTTTTTAAGTCTTTCCATACAAGTCTATTAACATACATCTAGCAGTTAAATATATACGAGTACACAAAATAAAGTGTAGAAAATTGAATTTACGCTATTACATCGCTTCAGGATGGGGGAAATTACAAACAAAAAATGGGGAATAAAAAGTAAAAGGCCCTAGTTTAACTATTACATCCCATATGCAATTACATAATTTTATGAAAATAATGCGAATAAAAATAAATGAACGCGCGGAGGATGGAAAAGGAGGAAATATCTAAAATCTTAAAATTTTCTAAGTATAAGAAAAAGTCTTTCTTTTTGGTATTTTTATTGTTTAAAAAATGAAAAATGAATTACGAAGTCCTAATTCTACTTAATTTTAAATTAATAAAATAAACTTAGAAGGGTGAAATTAAATTAATTAAATTAATTAAAATTAACAAAAATTAATTTAATTAAAAAAATTAAATCTAATGTTTTTGTGGTTTTCTGATTTTCTAATTTTTTAATTTTCTGATTATAAAATAAAAGATTAAAGAAAGTTAAATAAATAAATAAATAAATAAAGGAATGGGCCAATCGTGACAATTTCATTATGCCACGCCTGTGTTGACCTCCTCTGCATTTTTCAAACCACCATAGAGGATGGAAAACACCATCATCTCCGATGGGGGTTTTTCTTCAAAACCTGCAAAATCAATCAAACAAAAAAAAAACAAAATTCTAGATCCATTATATTGAACCCTACGATCTCAGTGGTGCCACTGGTTTGGGTTAAGAACTCCTGAATTACGAAATCTGAAGCTTCCTACATTCCACACCCTAACCATGGCATCATGTTATTTCTGCCTTCATGCTTACATGTAAAACATCATATTTACTCATAACATCAATAATAACAAGAATGAATGCATAAAAATGGTTTAAGTTACATGATAAGAGAGTTTGGAATCAAAATTTTACCAAAACATTGTGGGACGGTTGTGAGGATGATTTGAGACGCGTGGGGTTGGGTAATGATATGAATCGCCTCCTGGAGATCTCAGAAGGATGAAGGAGTCGCTGGTTTTGAAAGGGAGAAGCTGAAACTCATGTTTATGAGTTTTGCAACTTTTGGATTTTTTTAAAGAATTTGAGAGAATTTTGTTATGCAATGATTTTTTTGTGTCAATTGCTTCTGACTTGTTGTGTATTTATAGAGTAGTGAGTAAGAAGTAGATAAATATGGATGGAAAATCAATCTATGATGGCCTTTGAGACAAGAACAAAACACATTAAGAAGTTGCCAAAAATGAGTGATTCTCGCCCTTTTGGATATGCAATGAACCTAGGCAGGTTGTGGCTGGGTTGCACGAAATATTGGGCCTCAAAGCTAATCAAACCAAGCCCATATGCATTAGCCCATGATTTTTTGTGATTTTATTCAATTTATTTGATTTTAAATTAAATAAAATCAATATAAATATGAATAAAAATAAAATAAATGTATAAATGGACTTAGAGGTCCTCTAAGATGCTATGGACATGTTTGAAGTCCAAAAAGTAGGCCCATTGGTTCAAAATTGCATTTTTGCTCAATTTATACTTCATGAATTTCTTTAAAATTCCCCAACTTGTACAACTCATAAATTGCTCAATTTTTATCTTTTGAAGATGATCTTGGACTTTTTGGAAAGCCCAAGATGTCCTTGCTTTTGAAAACATTATCTTGATGTAAGCTGCCTTGAAAAAAGTATCTTTTATTGACTTTTGAAAATGACCTATAACGTATGAGCTCATATCTTTCAAATGAAGAATTTTTTGGACTTGAGAATAAAAGAAAAGTTATAGAGAATTGAATTTTCTTCAAAATCAGCTTTGCTTAGGGAAAAGTTGATGACGTATGTGAAAGTTATTCCTGGTCAAAGTTCAGTTAACTTCTCCTAAGGAAACCATAATTTGACAATTTTGGACTTTTAATAATTTGAGGGTTTTCCTTGGGGAATCATGATCAACCTTTGATCAAATGATGAATATCACTTCAAAATGTTGATGATGATCAAAAAATTTGAAGTTTGACTGTATGTTGACCATAATTGACTTTTTGATCAATACAGTTGACTTTCAATCATTTGAGTCATTGACTGAGAAAACTTTTGACGTAGGGTTTGAAACTTGACATGGACATTGTTGAGGACCTATGAAGAACCATGGAATCCACTTGAGACTTTTGCAATCCAAATTTTCTTGAGTAACTCCAAACCCTAGTTGTAGGCTTTTGGCTTAGGAGGAGCATCTTGACTAGTCAACCCTTGAGTATCTTGAGTATTTGAGAAGTCTTGAAAGAATGTCTTGAAGAAAATGGGAGGGCAAATTTTAGGGTACAACAGCTTCCCCTGTTCAATCTTCTTAAACCTGAAGAGTTAGATTGACATGTTCTTCATTCGTGACTTGAAGGTAGAAGATGATTGAACACTTAAGTGCCCAAAAATTTGCACTCGCTTGTGCAAGAAGTGACATTTTTGGTTGATTATATCGGAAATGGGCTTATAATAGGTGACAGAGAGTCGTCGGAGATGGGCTTATAGATGTCATCCAAAGTAATTATTGATTTCGACTGGAAGAAGAATCAAAATAAATCTTTGGTAAATTTAAACTGAACCAGCAGAGGTCTTGAATTGTCTTTAACTGAATAAGAATCAGAAAGATCTTAGGATCGATTTAACTGAACCAGAGAAAGGCGTCTACCGAACAAAGAATCAGGATAAATCATTGGTCGATTTAAATTGAACCAGCAGAGGTTTTGAATTGTCTTTAACTAGATAAGAATCAGAGAAATCTTAGGGTCGATTTAATTGAACCAGAGAAAGTATCTATCGGAAATGAATCAGGATAAATCATTGGTCGATTTAAACTGAACCAGCAGAGGTATTGAATTGTCTTTAACTGGATAAGAATCATAGAAATCTTAGGATCGATTTAACTGAACCAGAGAAAGTGTTTATTGAAAAAGAATCAGGATAAATCATTGGTCGATTTAAATTGAACCAATAGATGTCTTGAATTGTCTTTAACTGGATAAAAATCAGAGAAATCTTAGGGTCGATTTAACTGAACTAGAGAAAGTATCTACCGGAAACAAATCAGGATAAATCATTGGTCGATTTAAACTGAACCAGCAAAGGTCTTAAATTGTCTTTAACTGGATAAGAATCAAAATAAATCTTTGGGCGATTTAAACTGAACCATAAAAAGTGTCTACTGGAAAAGAATCAGGATAAATCATTGATCGATTTAAACTGAACCAACAGATGTTTCTTTGAGAATGACCTTTTGAGAGAATTGCTGAAATAGCCCTTTGTCAGATGTAGCTTTTGAGAAGACTGCTAGGTCATATAAGTAGTTGATGATGTTTGTGGATTGGTCTTTCCTGAAAGGTAAAGAGTTAGTTGTATGCGATGTCATGATATATAAAAAAAAGATATATTTTTAAAATAAAAACAAAATTATTTTATCATTACATCAGTAATATATATTCAATTTTCCATATATTAGATACATAAATAAATAAAAAAACAACACATTTTTCTCATG